CACCAGGAACGTAGTACAATTTAGAGCTCTTCTGAAGGTCCAGATCCCCAGCGCAGTCTGTGCACTGCCGAAGCCAGGCGGTTTGCCCATTTCCACGATTGGTCTGTCCACCGGCTGGGAGACCCGTATACGATCCGACCGATGCCCACGGCACCAGGGGGTCGGAGGGGCAGGAGGAGGAGGGGGGGATGGAGGAAGAGGAGCAGCAGGAGGAAGAGGAGAGCGGAGGAGGATGAGGCGGGGGAGGACAAGTAGGATGAGGATGGGAATGATGATGATGTTGATGATGCTGATGATGATGCTGACTCTGATGCTGTTGCTGATGATGATGATGATGATGATGAGGATGGTGATGCTGATGCTGATGCTCATGCTGCTGATGATGATGCTGATGGTGATGATGATTAAGATGATGATGACGATGATGGTCATGGTCATGGTGATGGTGATGCTGATGATGAGTTTGATGATGATGATGTTGATGCTGATGATAATGATGAAGAGGAGGAGGAGGAAGATACGGAGGATGATGATGAGAAGGAAGAGGTGGAGGAGGAGGTGGAGGAGTAGGAGGAGGAGAAGAAGAAGAAGAAGAAACAGGAGAAGAATGTGGCGGCTGAGCAGAATGATGAGCAGGAGTAGGAGAAGCATGAGTGAGGAGGACGAGGATTAATTTCAGCAGTAGGAGCTGGAGCTGAAGGAGCTGGAGGAGCAGGAGGACCATGGTAAGGCGGAGAAGGGGGATGGGGAAGGCTACATCGATGGAAAAGGGATCCAGAGATCTGGCCTGCTCTGGGGCGAGAACGCCATTCTGAACGCCGGGAGCAACACGCCATTCCGAAAATGTTGCATGCGTCGTAGTAGTCGTCGTCGTAGTTCGTAGTCGTAGTCGTAGTCGTAGTCGTAGTAGTAGTAGTAGTAGTAGTAGTAGTAGTAGTAGTAGTAGTAGTAGTCGTAGTAGTAGTCGTAGTAGTAGTAGTAGTAGTAGTAGTAGTGTAGTAGTAGTAGTAGTAGTAGTAGTAGTAGTAGTAGTAGTGGCAGCAGTAGTAAGAGTAGTCGTTTTTGTCGTATTAGCATTAGTACTAGCAGTAGTAGTAACACACGTAGTATTAGTAGTGGTAGTAGTAGTCGTAGTAGTAGTGGTAGTAGTAGTAGTAGCAGCAGGAGTAGTAGTAGTAGTAGTAGTAGTAGTTATAGTCGTAGTCGTAGTAGTCGCAGTAGTCGTAGTAGTAGCTGTGGTAGTAGTAGTATGCGTATTGGTATTAGTGTTCGTATCAGTATTCGTAGTAGTAGTAGTAGTAGTAGTAGTAGTAGTAGCAGGAGTAGGAGTAGGAGTAGTAGTAGTAGTAATAGTAGTCGTCGTCGTCGTCGTCGTCGTCGTCGTCGTCGTCGTAGGAGTAGAAGTAGTAGTAGTAGTAGTAGTAGTAGTAGTAGTAGTAGTAGTAGTAGTAGTAGTAGTAGTAGTAGTAGTAATAGTAGTAGTAGTGGTAGTATTAGTAGTAGTAGTAGTAGTTGTAGTAGTAGTCGTAATAGTAGATGTGGTTGTAGTTGTAGTAGTCGTAGTAGTAGTAGTAGTAGTAGTAGTAGAAGAAGTAGTAGTAGCAGCTGCCGTGGTAGTAGTAGTAGTAGTAGTAGTAGTAGTCGAAGTAGTAGAAGTTAGTTAGTTAGTTAGTTCGTTGGTAGTAGCAGGTTGGTAGTAGTCGTTGTAGTAATAGTCGTAGTAGTAGTAGTAGCAGTAGTAGCAGTAGTGATGGCAGTAGTAGTAGTAGTAGTAGTAGTAGTAGTAGTAGTAGGAGTAGGAGTAGTAGTAATAGTAGTAGTCGTAGTAGTAGTAGTCGTAGGTAGTAGTAGTGGTAGTAGTAGTAGTCAGTAGTAGTAGTAGTAGAGTAGTAGTAGTAGTAGTGTAGTAGTAGTAGTAGTAGTAGTAGTAGTAGTAGTAGTAGTAGTAGTAGTAGTAGTAGTAGTAGTAGTAGTAGTAGTAGTAGTAGTAGTCGTAGTAGTAGTAGTAGTAGTAGTAGTAGTAGTAGTAGTAGTAGTAGTAGTAGTAGTAGTAGTAGTAGTAGTAGTAGTAGACGTAGTAGTCGTAGTGGTCGTAGTAGTCGTAGTAGTTTTAGTAGTCGTCGTAGTGCTAGAATTAGTAGTAATCGCAGTAGTTGTAGTAGTAGTCGTAGTAGTCGTTGCAGTAGTAGTAATAGTAGTAGTAGTAGTAGTAGTAGTAGTAGTAGTAGTAGTAGTAGTAGTAGTAGTAGTTGCAGCAGTAGTAATAGCAGCAGTAATAGTAGTCGTCGTCGTAGTCGTATTTGTTGTCGTAGGTTTATTGGTAGTAGCAGGTAGAAATCGTAGTAGTAATCGTAGTAGTAGTAGCAGTAGCAGTAGTAGTAGTAGTAGTAGTAGTAGTAGTAGTAGTAGTAGTAGTAGTAGTAGTAGTAGTAGTAGTAGTAGTAGTAGTAGTAGTAGTAGTGGTGGTAGTAGTAGTGGTAGTAGTAGTAGTAGTAGTAGT